TATTTTTTTAAAATACATATCAATCTTGAAATTAAAAAAAATTAAAATTAAAATTTTACATTATGTAATTTTATTTAATTAAAATTTTAATTTTTAAATATAAATTAAAATTCTTATTTAAAAAAAAATCAAAATTAATATACATTCATTATTAATTTTATCATATTAAAATAATAAATATAAATTATTTTATTAATTGTCAATTATTTTCGACAACTACACGTATAAAATTATCAGCTAGCCATCACTCGTTCAGCGATAACCACAGCTAAAGCAATCATTACATTAGAGTTTATGATAACGAAATTTCTACAATAGGCCATCAATTCACTCCATTTTTTTATTAAAAATATTCAGTATCCTATGTAAACAGTAAATGAAGAGTGAAAATATTGAGTGAAATAGTTACACGGCGGCCGAAAATATTACTCTACAACATATTCAAGGGAGGCGAATTACTATGGGCAGAACCAGGGAAATTGCCTTCATCGTCCCCCAAACCGCCCACCGTTTGCATCGGCGAAACCAACATTTACCCCCTCACTTTACAAAGTTAATAGGTTTTACCCCTCATCTTATAACATGACAGTTTTAGCTTTTTATCTTACTAAGTTAATAAGTTTGAGTCCATATCTTACAAAATTGATAAATTTTAACTCTTTACATCATATTAAGATATTTTTAGCCCATCATCGATACAAATTAAAGAAAATAGCACTCATCTAACATAAGGTTATAACGTTCTATTAATTCTATTGTTGATTGTAAACATTCGTTAATATTCCGTTATAAAAAATATGAAATTTAAATTCAATTTTATTTGTTAGTTCATTAACAGAATGCTAACGGATACTAACAGTCAATTAACAAAACTAACAGTAAGTTAATAGAATTAATAATCAACTAACAGAATTAATAGAATATTATAACATGATATTAAATAAGGGTTATTTTCTTCAATTCGCTCAGATTAAGGGTTAAAAATGTTATAATATAAGGTGAAGGGTTAAAAACTACCAATTTTATAATGTGAGGGGTTAAAATTTATCAATGTTATAAGATAAAAGACTCAAAATGTCATATTATAAAATTAGAGGCTAAAACCTATCAATTTTGTAAGGTGAGTGGCTCAAAGTTGGTTTTAGCCCGTTTGCATCTGCCACAGCTGGTAGTATCGCCGAGCTGCCTCTTTTCTACTGCATAACTTACTCACGGAAAAAACAACTCCAGCAACTGCTCCTACTGAAAACACAACCGCCGGAACCACCGTCATCCACTGTGTCAATAATTATTCATCAATCAGTTTCTGTCTAGATAAAACGAAAATAATCCAGGAATTCTGTTGTGATATATTAAGCATTTATCTCACATTTCTACTTGATTCCTATCCCTCGCCGGAGGGAATTTTTGTGCGGTTGAATGTGAAGAAGAAGAAGAAGAAGAAGAATGTGAAAGGATTTATGTATAAAATGCTAATTCAGAAAAACGGGGAGAAAAGCGGGTCAATGGAGGAAAGGAAGGGAGACTGACCGGTTATTTGTTTTGTTGGAATTGAGCAATCGACGGTTCCTTTCCACTGCGGCGGACACTAGCGGAGATTAGCCTTCCGATCCACCAAGAATTCAGCCTCGTGGAAACAAAACATCAGGTCACATGGCGCGCTGGAATGCTCGCAGTGATCACCGGTGAACCCCGCGGACACCTGCAGGTGATGAATTCTTTCCGTCGCACATTGTCATTTCTTCATTGCAAAACTTTCCCCTGCAGTCCACACTACAACATTTCATCCTCACTCTTTTTCAGTGAAATTTCAGAACATCAGATTATCAAAATTCAAATGCAATAAGAATCAATAAATGAATGTGAGAGTTAAAATTGAATTTAATTAACCCAGCAAAGACGATCTCCATCTAAGATGATGGATGGATCAGGGAGATCGAAAATGCAGGCGCCGGAGCTGTTACGTGATCCAGGTCTGCATCTTCCTTCATCACATGGCATGGAATTCACGAACAATGATCCAAACAGTAGCAGAATGATAACAGTTACATGCACGAACTGTATTCCCATGTACATTTCAAGATTAAGAGAAAGAGGAGGAGAAATTGAGGTGAGTTTGAATTTTTTCTGTGTTGTTTCCAGATGTAACAATGAGTTTGTTGTGAGCTAAAAGTGAAGTTGAAACTGTCAAACACTCAAACTATAAGTTTTAGTTAAAATTACGTGTAGTAGATTTCATGGAGAATTTGGGTTCTTTTTTATGGTGTTTTTGAGAAATAGAAGCGGTATTATTTTTAAGTATCAATGAAATTAAAGGAAGTAGTACTTTTTTGTATTTTTTTTTATCCGATAATCACATTAAATTCGATTAATTTATGATTGAATCATGTCAGATCTTAGTAGGAAAATTGAGCCGCATCGAATTTTTTCATTCACAAACCTTTAAACTGATAACCTTATTTAAGGAAAATTAAGATTATTCCGCATAGACTAATATGCGTTGGCAACAAAGCAGTACTTTATTACGTGATTGGAGGAAATAATTAAAATCAACGGCTTACGTACAGGGAAAGGGAAGCAGGGTTGGGTTTTTCGGGGAAAATTTTTTTAAAGAAGTTGGGCTTGGGCTGAAATGCTAAACATCAATTTCTCCATCTCTCAAGTCCTTCAAATAGAATGACCATATATCCTCTATCCCATATTCCAAATTCCCATCTAATTAACTTCTTTTTGGTATGCAACTAGCCTATCTAATTAATGATTATAGTTGCCTAATAGGTTTTTCCTTTTTCGAGTTTAATGTTTTATAGTTTGTCCTACATGAACTATAAATACCTTCGTCTCGTAATTATTGAGATTTATTACAAATTTATAATAATTTTATTGATTACAAAAATGATATTTTTATAATCTATATAAGATAAATTATAAAACACTTTATATATATATATATTGGTTGGAAATGATAGTTCTCTTGTTTCCAAATTACTCATTATTCATCTTACAGGTCAAACTCGAGACATGTAATTTATATATAATCTAAAACTTTTATTAGTTGAGACGTTACAGAGGCGGTCGAGTAATGCATGTTGATCAGGGTTCAGGGAATTTCCTGTCGCCCTGTCTCATTTCGTCATCTAGTCTCATATGTTTTTGAAAATAAATCCTCCTTGGGAAAAGGGAAATCACAATCAAGAATCAAACTCATTTGTTTAACTTTATAGCATACAAAATCTTGTTAATAGATTCACTTTCTTATTAAAGATAAGATAAAAAACTGATCTAAAAGAAGATTAATTTCAGGTTCCCTTGAGATCTCTTCAATCTTTTGGTCCCCTCTAAGGTAAAGAGAAGATCTACTGGACCGTATATTATCATGTGATGTTCACAGGAAAACCGCATTCATAGCACGTAACCAAATAGACAGTGCCAAGAACCAACTCCATATTCAGTGTTCCAGCAAGAGCCAGCTAAGTCTTAATGCAGATACAGAGCCTGAGACAGAGACGGGTGAAGCACAGAGTCCAAATTCAATTTCTTGTACAGAATCACAGATGCAGCCCACCAGCTTTTTAATGCATCTTTACCATTTAATTCCTAACAGATCCACAAGAGTACATATGAGAGGACAAAACCTGGCTGTGCACAGTACATCATGCATGGGGTATCCTCACCTGCTTCTGCCAAAGTTTATGCAATTTTACCAGGTGGGGCGAGAGGGGTGTTTGAAAATTCAAAGCTTAGAAATCATCGTCTTCATGCTCCTAGTGGCAGCCACTCACAAGATCCTAACAAATTGGTTATCCACCTGCTTGGCTATCTGTGATTACAATCACTTCATTTTATTTTATTTTATTTTTATATTAAATAAATTAATCTTTTAATATAATCCATACATTAATGATCTCCAGACAGCACAGATTAAGTATCCAATTCACTGGAGTTCTAAATATGGTTTTCTTAATTTTGGGTATTTGTCAATGTTATAAAAGGTCTATTCAACAACACTTCTAAAAGGTGAAATGGGTTTTAAAAAGTTTTTTCTTAGATCTGCTTATACCTCACACTAGAGGTTGATCTTAGCATAAAGTAAGTAGTATAGCTTAAATTAGAGCATTTATGGCTTTCATGGCGTACTCTTACTTCTAAACACACCAAATTCTATTAAAATTTATAAATTTTATACAACAGCAAGTTCAGAGCTGGCACTTAACACATGCTACTCAATTAATCACTTCCAGGTTTCCAGCTGATCTCATGCATCTCAGACAAAACAGAACTTAAGTAATACGATGAGAAAAGGCAGAATCAACAAATGTTATAACCTAGAAAAATGCTAAAAAAAAAAAAATCAGGGCAGACAAAACCTGGTGAGACGTAAATTGATGAAGAACAACAAGAACAATATGGGCAAAACTTTCTCTCTCTCTCTCTCTCTCTCTCTCTCTCTCTCTCTCTCTCTCTCTCTTTTTTCTTTTTATTATTGGCAAGTTACCAAATTTCGTCTTATATATACACTTCAACTAATCATCATATCACAACAATGGAAAAACAAGAAAATCTTCCATGGCAAACCCAAAACAAAAAAAAAAAAGGGGAACAAAAAACTACAGACCGGGAACAGAAGTGTACTCGCTGTAAAAATCATCGACCCCGGAAGCAGCCCAGAGCCGTTGATTGAACTCATCCTGCAACTCATCAGGAACAAAGGAGGTTCTGCAAAGCGGACAAGTTTTCTGATCATGGTCCATCCAACGGTCCAGACAAGGCCGGTGGAAAACATGGCTGCAGTTCCTCAACCACCTGATCTCCTCTCCGGCTTCGAACTCGGACAGGCAAACCGCACAGCTCTCCGGTGGGTCCCTCTCCACCAGCAGCTCCTCAAATTTTATCACGGGGAGAATTTCCCGGATCAGGAGCGCGGATACTGGCGGGTTATCGGGCATTCGGGTCGTCGGAACATCGGGCCACGCCACGTCCGCCTCGAGGAAATCGGAGAGACCCAGGAAGTGAAAAAGGGAGAAAATCAGGTTCCTGATAAAACCCAGAAATGATAGCGTGTGGACAAACAACTTCGGCAAGAAAACCTCTGTGTATCCCACCGGAAATCCCATGGAAGAAGCAAAAATTGAAGCAGAATCTGAGAAAGAAAGTGTAATACGCAGTGAGATTCAGAGGAAGAGAAGAAGAGGAGATTCTGTTTCAGTTATGGACGCCTTTTGGGCAAATGAATTTGCAGGTTTTATAGTACGGAGCTGAGGCCATGGGGATTGGAATTACTGACTGTGACGATAGGGTTCCGTAACGGACCAATGTGATGGAGTTGTTATAGTGGGGTCCAGCAGCGGATGGTGGAAATTAAGGGGGCTGTGAAGGGTCGGTGTGTGGTCGGAGGTGACGTGGGGGTTGAAGGCTGCGTTTAAGAAAACTGTTATTTGATTTTAAAAAATGCTGGAGAAAATCGCACACGTGTCACGTGCTGTAAATGGAAAGGAAGAGGAAGTGGGGATTGAGGAGGGCGACGGTAACGCAGCGCGTAACTGTACGTAAAGAAGTGATTAATTCCGAATACCATATGTAAGGGTAGAAGAAGTTTCGTTTTTTTTAAATAAGTTTTTGAATTTAAATTATATAAATGAGCTATAAATATTAAAAAAAAAAATTAAGAAGCCCAAAAAAACCAAATTTTTTTTAAAAAAGAAAAAGATAGATGCTTAATTCTCACTTTCTTTATAAAAAAGTTTCTTTGATAAAAGTTTATTCATATTAATAATGATTTTTTTTTTCTTTTTGGGTTATGATTCTTTTTACTAATTAGGATGAGATT